AAAGTACGGAGTACGAGGTACTCAGTTTAACCCCACGCCACGCCTCGCTACCAGCCTTCTGGGCAAGCACGTGGTAGGACAAGGAACCAACCTAGTCGACGCACCTAGGTAGCTAGGCAGCTAGGGTCTCGGAATTAGAGCGGGACCCAAAGGCTCGGAATAAGGATGGCCTTGGTTTGTGCGGAAATCCCTGTTATCCCCACAACTCTCGGCAGGGGATGGAGTCTGGAGTACTCCGTATGGAGAGAGGGTTTCGTCTCCGAAGTCCAAATAAGTCGATTCCGCGCCCTCTCCCGAGAGTGACCACGTTTTTTGAGCTTCACATAAGGACTGCTCGGGGGACCTGTTGAGACGAACAGACGAGGTGACTCCTCCCGCATCGACCCTGTCCTCCCATTGTCACCATCTATTCAAGTCTTCTCCCTCTTCACCTCTACAAATTTTCAACAGCAAGGATGGAGAAGCCTCCTACGAGCCCGGCAATCCAGGTCGAGGCTGCAGAATCCCACGAACTATCTGCTGTGCCTGTATCCGAAAGACCAATGACCAATGACTCCGTCACACCGAAGACCTGGCTCGTGGTGTTTGTAAGGATAAATCCTTTCCTGTCTTATCACCATTCTCTGTTCTCTCAGTCAAGATTCTCGGTCATGCCGAAGGTGGTAACAGCCTGGCGGCGAAAAGACATGGTTGAACGGGGAGAAACGGATGACATAGAAGACCAGACGCTGACGAGATCTTCTGTCTCCTCGTATAGGCTCTTTCAGCTTCCTCAGGTCTTTCCATATGGCTGCTTCCCACCGTGGGAACGGTTTCAGCCCAGGTCTCTGCCAAACTACATGCCGACGCAGGCCAGAGCACCTGGTTCCTCTCAGCCTTCTCCGTGGCCGCCATCGTGGCTTCGATGATTTGCGGCGCCAACAGTGATCTCTTCGGTCGGCGCTACTTCATCTTGTTCGGTAACTTGTGCATGGTGATCAGTGGTGTCCTCACAGGCGCTGCAAAGACTTCCAACCACTTCATCGCCGGCATGACTATCGGCGGATTCGGCACTGGTTGTTGTCAGATGGCCTGTTTCGCCCTCCCGGAGCTCCTGCCCCTCAAATGGCGGCCACTGGGTGTCGTTCTCTCCGAAGCGTTTGCATACTTTTGTCTGGTCGTTGGGCCGGTCGCCGGTAAATTTGCAGTGAACAACGGTGGAGAGAACGGTGAGGGCTGGAGGTGGCTGTTCTATCCCAATGCCATCGCCAACGCTGTCACCGGCTTGATGCTCGCTTTCCTCTACTTTCCGCCTGCCCATCCGCGCGGTATTCCCTGGCACCAAGCACTTCGCCAACTCGACTACGTCGGGATCGCGCTTTTCATCTTGTCCATCACCCTCATTATGGTCGGCATTGTCGACACCTCATACATCGCCGACAAGTCGGACCCCAAGATCGTGGGCACCCTCGTCAGCGGATTTGTCTTGCTGGTGATATTTGGCTGCTGGGAGACCTGGGCGCCCCTCAAGCAACCTCTCACCCCATCACGTATCTTCAGCCGAAATCGTGGCCGCGCATTCACCGCGCCATTCATCTGTGGTATCTCCAGCGGTATGTTCTACCTTGGGCCCAATATCTTATGGGGTACCATGGTGAGCGTCTTCTTCACCAAACCCACGGATCCCATTTCCCACGGCATGAAGCTGGCTATGGTCCAAGGTCTGGGCATCACCGTCGGCTCCATGGGCCTGGCGATATTAGGGGGCCGCATCAAGCATTGGAAATGGCAGATGATAATAGCCTTCACACTGATGACCCTGTTCGGTGGGCTCTTTGCCCTAGGCCGACCAGGCCGTGTTGCGCCTCTCATTTTCATTTGCGCCTGTTCTGGCATCACCTACTCCTGGGCAGCATATCTCGGCATTGCATACATCCAATTCGGCGCCGAGCAGGTCGATCTCGGTATCGCTGGAGGTCTGGCGTAAGCATCAATTCTCCCATCCCGATCACAGTTCCCCCCCTTCTGTTGCGTCTCCGACTAACGATATACTTCTACTCAGTGCCGTGACTCGTTACGCCGGAGCCCTGATCGCCACCACGGTTTTCTCCACCATCTTGAACAACACCCTTGCCAGTGAGGCTGTCAAGCGGGTCATCCCCGCGGCTGAAGCCGCCGGAGCCTCGCGAGCTGTGGCACAGCAAGTCCTGAGCGCCCTGCCTCTCGGTGCCGATGCCTTGGCAAAGATTCAGGGCGCCACGACCGCCATTATTGCAGCAGCCGGGAGCGCATTCACAGAGAGCTACGTGAAAGCCACTCAGACGGTTGCCTTGACCTCGATCGCTTTTGGTGGTGTGGGAGTGATCTCGGCTCTGTTCTTGGAGGACATTACGGCCAAGATGACGCCCAAGATTGAGGTGTTCCTCGAGAACGACGTCAACGCCGAAAAGAACAAGTTCCACTAAGGGCATCTCCATCTGTGGTCTTGGGGGGGTAAAGGGTATATGGGCGGTCCTCCCTCGGCTCTCCTCGAGACGTGGTGCGGCATAGGCCTGGTTGATCTGGGGTGCGTTCATTCTTGTCTCCTGGTAGGCTTCGTGGTTGTATGGAAACATGTACACACAGACACACTTTTTCCATGTAAAATTCACATTAACTATTCTCTACACAAGTCCAGAAATCCTTGGTCCATTTGCCTTCCACTGTGATGCCCACCACCCGTCTAGCGATTTATCATGCATGCTCGTGACAATACGGGGCATCGATATTTGTTTTTAGCTCGATACATACCAATTCCGAATTCCGTCAACGCGACTGCCTCTGTTCCCTGGAAAGTGAAACATGGTCACCAATCGAGATGCCCTGGGTTCCGTCCACCGAAGAATACTTGGACCTCCCGGATTGATGCTTCGACCGGTCCCATTTTCCTTTTTCCGTCTCCGCCTCCACGGTCTCATAGCCGACTCCGACTCCGACACCCGTTATCAGCCATATGCTTCGCGGCCAAGAACCCATAGACCATGCCGCGGAGGTTCGTGACGCCGCTCTGCAACATCATGCCCAAGTCTGTCCGCGCCGCCGAGTTCCCCGCGGCATAGAGACCCGGGATGGGTCGGCCGTCCTGCCTGACGACCTGGGCGTGCTGGTTGATTTCGAGCCCCGCGGCGCCGACGCCCAAAAACGCCTGGATGAGTTTCGTGGCGTAAAAGGGAGCCTGTTCGATGGGACCCAGGGGTGAAGTTCCGAGAGGGGCGAAGGCCAGGCTGGACGTCACCCAGGGTCGTTCACCGCGGTGGAAGTCATCGTCGCGCCCCTGTCTGCACATCTCGTTGTAACGGTCCACTGTGCTCTTGAGGCCTCGAGGGTCGATCCCCGCCTTGGTCGCCAGCTCGTCAAGCGTGTCGGCCACATGGCATTGTTCTTTGGGTGGCCCAGGTTGCTGTCTCCGCATCGGTGAGCTCCAGTAGTTATCGTCCATGACCAGCCACGTCGGCCAGTGAGGATGGACATGTCGCACTGGGTCGAGAACGTGTAAACTCGCGTGTAGTTCGGGGTAGAAGGTCTCGTCGGCGAATCGTTTCCCTGCGCGGTTCACCACGATCTCATGCGGTCCGACAGGCCAGTACATGGCGAGGATCTCGTTGTCCAACGTTGGCGACGATAAGTCCTCATCCCGCCGGATTCCCGTGCGCACTGCTCTCTGAACGATACTTCGTGAAGGTGGCAGCGTCGCGATCGCGGCACCAGCGTCAGCCCCCATGGCGAGATGGTCCCCGTCAATTCCGGGGAAGACGAGCGTGCCGTAAGGTTCAAAGCGGCCCTCGTATCGATGCACAAGGGCAGAGTTGTAATCGTAGCCACCGACGGCCAGGAGGACACCACGTGTCGCCCGGATGCGTTGTTCTCGGCCACCACCATCAAGACCTTCGACCACCACACCTGTGACTCGTGGACTCGTCCCGGCCTCCGGCTCGCCTCTGATCAGTCGCGTGGCAGGACTGTTCGTCCAACACGTCGCTCCAGCCTCCAGGGCCGCTTGCAAGAGATACCCGGCCAGTGCTTCCCCGGTGTACACAAAGTCCCGTCGCTGTGCCTCGGGTCGGCCGGTGATCCCAGCCATCTCGGGGCTCGACCAGGCCTTGTGGCGGAGTTTGTGCCTATAACGGTCACCCAAGCGACGCAGATCAAACGGCTCGGCGTCGATGTACCGCCCATCTCGCTTCGCGAAGGGCTGAAGGTCCGGGTAGTAGTAGTCCGGCAGATTGGGGATCATGCGAAACTTGACGCCCTTTTCCTCCAAGAAATCAAATGCCTCGTTCGCGGTGTTGAAGAGGTTCCTCGTCATGCGGTCGTTGGCCCAGCCGTCTGCGAGCGACTCGATGTATCGGATCCCATCTTCCAAAGAGTCCTCGATCCCGCGGGCCAGTTGATACTTGTTGGCCGGAGACCATATCTGCCCTCCTGAGAGGGCCGTCACGCCGCCAAACTGCGACGTCTTTTCCACCACCAGCGTCTTCAAGCCTTTGCTCGCGGCCGTAATAGCCCCCGAGAGGCCGCCGATGCCTGACCCTACACAGATGATGTCGTATTCTTCGTCCCATCTGCCGTCGACGTCGGCGCTGCTCGACTGCGACGTCATGTTGAAGGGGCCACAAAAATAAAATAAATAATGACGTCGTCTATTCACCTTGGCTTTATTAATCTAACAAGGATCGACATTGATAGACTCTGGGATACGTGCATCTATCAATGCGTAGCTTGTTCTTATGTATGTAGGTGTATATATGTGACTTATCAGCATGTAAAACCCCTTGGCCGTATACGGAATTCAGCTCTCCGATCGGAAAAGGGGGGAAGCGGTGGTGTTGTGGTGGTAGTATTGGTACAAATGTGGTTTCCGCTCCTGCAGCCACCATAACTCCGCGTATGTTGAGCTTTTCCCGGTGGTTCCAGAGCGTGTTGAAAGCGCCGCCCAAAAAGCCTAACAGAGCCTTGCAGATGTTTTTTTTTTATGGCTTCTATCATGATGATGATAACTGGTCCAAAATCTCCACGGGAACTTCCACCCATTTGTCCCTGATAAAGTCTGCGAAGCCTTTACCCAGATTGTCCAAGGCGACGGTGCTGCTCGAACCACGATCCAGAATGCCATAAACCACAAAATGCACCGAGTGGATGCCCGGGAACTCCATTCTCTCGATGAAATATCTGTCCCGCCAGTCGTCGCCGATCAATTCTCGTAGACGGCCCCGAGACATGAAGCCCCGGAACCACGGCCAGATCTTGGACGTCTTGGGGAAAATGCCAAAGTTGATGTTGGCGCCCTTGTCGCCGGATCGGCCGAGGGCCACGTCGCCTAGACGGACAACTTTGGTCTCGGGTCTCGAGGGGACAAACGTTGGTTCCGTGTCGAAGTTTGTTCTCTTCTCGATGGCTTCGTACCGGGGTGGGTGGCCCGCCGTCAGAGTCTGGCCAATCGAGCCGTCGGGTTTCAAGATATGGGCAAACTCCTTGAGAGAATTCTGTGGATACAATGCCGGGTAATATGCGATGTAGCGCATTGGAGCTGCGCTACGGAAATCTAGAGCGTAGTGAAGACCTGTATCACCATCAAGAATCAGTTCATTGGTGGGGAAGCACATTGTGGACGGACTAACCAGAGAAATGTTGCATGACGAATTCCGCCCACGCGGCTCGAAGGCACGCTACTGTGGCCTCATCGCTTGCCTGAGCGAATATGCGACAGTATGTGGTACTATTCAGTTGAGTGCGCGGGTTTGCTTGAGGTGTTCCGACGCTGCATGGTCCGCTGTCACTACCGGAGCAACGAGTCAGGGAAAAGGGTGATATAACTCACACTTGAAAGTCGATCACGTCAAAGTCCTCCAGCTTTCCTTTCTGCTTGAGGACGTACTTGACCTGCTTCTCTAGCAATTTCCACTTGAGTGCCGTATTGTAGCCTGTGGCATTGAGCAGCAGTTGACACTGATAGCCACCACGGTAGAAGATACCCAGTTTTGTCGTGGCCGGTGGTGGACTACCCTTGACACCGGTGACACGGACGCGGTTTTTCCCATCCTGTTCTAGTTTCACATTCGTAAGGTCAGCCGAAACGTCGCTGTTGAGATAGATCGCGCCCTGCAGCTCGTACAGTAGTTGACAACGAACTACGTCGACATTGATCACCCCTTTTCCCGTGTCATGCATAGTGGTCACGCAGCTGCCGTCCTTGGCGATCTCGGCGATTCCAAACGGGATGTCGACCAGCAAGTCCAGGTCAAAGGCGTCGAATCCCGAGAAGTTGCCCCCCGTCACGTATCCGGAACACTCGATGAGGTGGCCAGCAAGTAGTGCCCCGGCCAGCTGGTCATAGTCGGTCGCTCGCCAACCATGCCACCACCACGCCGCGGCGATGACTGGGGACGCATCGGCCACACGGCCACAAATAATGATATCCGCTCCAACGTCGAGGGCCGCGAGGATGGCTCGAGCACCTAGGTAAGCGTTTGCAGCGACGAGCGGCTTACGGTTCATGTCTCGAAACGTCAGCGTCCGTTCATCGAGGCGGACTTCGGTGTTTTCGGAGTCGAGATGTGGTGGTAACTCTCCTGTCTGTTGAAGCTGATCCTTGATTTCGGGCAACACGTCATCACCAGACACGAACGCAACGTTGATTAGGTATCCTTTCTCGCCAACCTGCAATATCGTCACTATCAGCAGCAGCAAAATGTAGATGTAGCAGTCGGTGATGTTGTCCTTACCAGTCGCTGGACCTTTTCCGCGAGACCACGAGGATTCAACCCTCCCCCATTGACGATGATCTTGATGTTCTTCTCCGCGACGATGTCTAGACTCTGCTCGATGCCATCCCAGCATGTAGAGAACCAGCCATCGTGCTGTCCGGCGCGCATTGCCTCGGCATTCTCCGCCAAGCTCACCTCTGTATTGGTTCAGTACGAGCGAGGGAGACCGGTGCCGAACAACTTTCGCGTACCCGCAAGGTAGTCTCCCGTGATGAAATCAACATCCCCTTGTTCCGCCTGGCGCCGCATCTGATAGCCAGGGTCATCTTGAAGTTCGTCACAGTCAGAAAAGTCGAGTATGGTCGCAGAGAGAGTATCGGATTCAAACGCCAGTAAGACAGGGACAGAGACACTGACTTCTTCCACCAGAACAATTGGCGACCCTGACTGGCCGTGTGCCTCGAGCAGACCATCTCGAAGTCGATCCCGCCATTCTCAGCCACTCACTTGCTCACTCACTCACTAGCTTTGAAAAATTGGATCCACGATCTCAAAAGTTGCCCGTGGCGGGATTATCAGGTTCAGGTTGCGGATGAGTATTGACAGGGACTCAATGGAGCAACCCCAGGATTAGTCGACTATATACGAGCAGACGAGTTACTACCTAATCAAGGAATTACAGGAGGTAATTATACCGAGTACATCGTACTAGCGCCGATACCTCCGAGGGCCTGGTCTTGGCAAACCCTGTTAGTCACACAGCAAATACCCGATGGTCACGTTGCTGCATATATTTTCCTTTTCCGTGCGTCAATTCCGTCCTATGATCAAATCAGACTACTCAGTACACACAGCTTTGTGCCAGACAGCAAGGGGATAGCGACACATCAAGACGACGGATACTCGATTACTGATACGAGGATGCTACGTACGGCACAAGAACATCTCAAGATATCGCCAGAGTCTGCATTTTCGTCGACGGGGATCATCACGCAAACCAACCAAGCCAATTTCTTGATGATGAAAGCATCATTTCTCCAAGATTGTTCTTATCTTGCTAATGTGACTGTTTCCGTTGAGCCACATAGACCTAATCTTGTGAACATCAACAATGCCAGCCGCCATCCACCGTGTACACCGATCCTGTCACGAATGTGCTTTCCGGTCCCAACAGCCATGTGAGTACCGCCGCCACTTCCTGCGGCTCGGCCACGCGTCCCATAGGACATGAAGGCGGCACGGCTATACCGTTCATCGAGTCTTGATACAGGGGCGTATTGATGGTGCCTGGAGCCACGGCGTTGACACGAATCTGACGCTGCGCAACCTCCTTGGCTGCCGACCGCGTCAAGCCGATAATGCCATGCTTTGCCGCACAATACGGTGAGATCCCCGCGATGCCCTCCAGACCAGCCACGGAGGCAATCGAGACAATACTGCCTCCGTCGACAATAGCTCGCAACTGCGCTCGGAGACAAGCCATTGTGCCTTGTCCACGTATGTCATTCAGAGCTCGAATACCTCTGGGGTCACAGGGAGGGGGAGGCGGGAAGTTGTAAAGATAGTCGTACCAGTGAGGTTCACGCCAATGGCAACATCCCAATGCTCATCATCGACCTCTGTCAGGGGCAGCCGGTCGTTCGTACGGCCGGTCACGCCTGCGCAATTAGCGGCGCCGTCTAAACGTCCGAAGTGCTGGACCGTATGGGCGATCCAGTCGTCCACTTTCGCACGCTGGGTGACGTCCAGTTGCGTGTAAAGGAAGTCGGGGTACTGGGAGGAGAACTCGGCCGACAACTGAGCCAACGAGGTGGCATTCCAGTCGGCGATGCTGAGTTTGGCGCCTCTTGACGCCAGGATTCTGGCAGTCGCCTTGCCAATACCACTCGATCCACCGGTAATAGCGATCACTTTGCCATCCATTTTGTACGACAGCCAATGTTTTCGTATGCCTCTCGGATAAGGTTCAAACAAGATCAAGGCCGGACAAATTTATAAGGGTGCTCAGTGAATGGACTCTATTCCTTGTGGTCCGTCGGCTTGGATTGGTGCCTTGCATGCTGCGCCAATGCTACTTCACCTTTAACTTGGGAGCGTGCCCTCAATCCCGGGTAGGCAAGGAACTCACCAATTCCAATGACGATATTTCCGGTTAGTGGGTAACCCCCATATTCCGCCGGGTCACCACTTGTTACTCGCTATGCGGATGAACATTCCGTGGTTCTGGGAACTTACCTAAGTCCTGATATCAAGGTACCAATGGCAGTCGTTTAGGGTTGTTTGGCTGGCCTCTCTTACTGCTTGCGCCCGACTTGTTGCACAAACAGCGGATGAGCAAGATTATGAATAGGTCTGTCTATGCTTAGCATCAGGCGGTGCCTGGTTGTTTATATACAAACACAGTGGTCAGGGAAGATCTCTCGTGATCCCTGCCACACAGGCCCCTCAACCAGCGCCTGTCAGATAGCTGCTTCATCAGCCGGCGTCTGTGAAGCGGTCATTGCGAGAAATCCTCGAGTGAATCTTCATCAACACCAACAAAGAGCCTCGAGAATTTGGCATCCCAATACGGGGTCTAGTGGATAAGTTTTCCCTAGCCCGATATTTGCTTGAACGAACCATTCATTGCGTTCTTATCAACGTGGGATGTTCGTCCTCTGCATAATTCGTCAAATTGCTGAAAACACACGAGAAACCAATGATGCCCTACAATTGGGCATACATCAGTTCAAAAAATGGCCACTGCGTTAGAGGGGCTACCGACCGCACCGACGACGTGCAGGGGCATACTGGTCAGGAAGAACGTGTATCGTTTCGTCTGGTGGCAGTGGCGGCTGAGCTGTTCCAGATTCCACATTTCACCTATCCAGGAATTAGCAAATTGACACTGGCATTCGTTCCCTGTTCACATCATCATCATCATCATCATCATCATCATCATCATCATCATCAGGATCCTCATTGGCTGGTGTTTCTCCTTTGATATGAACCCTTGACTTCTCTGGACGTGGTGTTTCATATCGTCTATCCTAAAGACACAAAGTTGGTGTAGTCGGGACTCACCAATTGGCATCCCCCAACCACTCAAAAGAATCTCGTGCAGGAACAAATCGTCAATCCCCGTGGACCGCTTCGGAATGGCTTCAAAGGCCGGGGCGTCCGAGGTACAGGCGCTGAATTGGGAATCCCAGAGCCATTTCGCCATGCTCCTCGACGTCTCGACCCCGACGTGGCTTGTCGGGTGTTGATGACTCCAGCTGATTTTCTCTTCGGCACTCAAGGTCTCGTAGCCCGCGTGGAACCCTGTGCGGATGAGCAGAATGTCGCCCTTTTTGAAGGTGACCCCCTGTGACTCTGCCACGGCGTTGAGTTCTTCGACCGTGATGGCGTGGTCGCCGAGTTTGTCGTACGTTTGACCCTGGGAGTCGGACCAGTGGAGGTAGTCTAGGAGGACGCCGCGGCCGACGATGCCCTGGGCACACCATGCTTGATGTCTCATGTCAGAAATACCCATGTCCTGTATTCATCGACCCGTTCATGCAGGATGAGGAGTACGCAGAGTGACAGAGGTGGTGATACCGTGCATTCCTAGATTTGCCGTCGCTTCAGGCCCCGACAACTGCGACACTTTGGCGCCATTGTAAAACAGCCCCAGGCTTTGATACCCGAAATGGCGGAATCCATCCCACTGGCTCGATATCTGTGACAGTAGGGTAGTCCATCAGCGAGAGGACGCGTCGTTGTCAGTAGTGAAGAAGGTCTTAAATGACCCACCTGAGTATTGAAGTCGAGCAAGTCGTCGTGCACAGCTCGAGGAGCCTTGTGGATGACGGTGTGTGTCAAGGGTTTCCTGTCGTGCGGAGGCCGGGCAAGATAGTCCACGGGGGCATCGAGACCTATGCGTACACCCGTGGTGATCTCTTTAGCCGCGGCCGTCACCACGTCTGGCGTCAATATGTTCAATGTGCCCAACTGGTCGTCCGGCCCGTACAGGGACCAGGCGGAGAAGGGCGGGTCGCCTTTACGCAAAGGGAGATGTTCAAATGCAGGTCTCGTCATATTGTTTATCACAAGTAGGAATATTATCTTGACTCGTGAAAACATGTACTCGGTAGGTACATATTCTCGTATCAACGTGTGTTGATCTGCATATGGAGCTCGGATGCCCTGAGGGGGGGTAGCCGGGCCCTTGCCAGCTCTCGGGTTCGTGTGTGCCGGAATTTCGTGTGTGGCTCTATAGAACGGAATTGATTATCGCTCTCCACCATTTACTCCGCCATTGGGTGGTCCTTGCTCCAGGTCCCCTTCCCTACCTAGGCACCTAATTGTTAGGGTTCGATCACCTTTCCGTATAGTGAGAGACAGTGGGTGATTCCATTTTACACTTGGCGAGCTTGAACAGGTCCTGTTCACAAGCAAAAAGCCTCACTTGCTAGCCCAACCCATATACATACCATATACTCACTCTCAACCCCCTTCAGGGTCGCCTCATTTCACCATGTCCGATTTCACGGTGCCCAAAAAGGCCAAGGCCATCATATACTCCAATCCCGGCACGACAGCCACCGAGATCATCGACGTCGACGTGCCAGAGCCGCAGGACGGCGAAATCCTAGTCCGCATCACACATTCTGGTGTCTGCCACACGGACTACTCGCTGGCCACACAGACACTGGGCCATGTTCGTCTACCCGAAGGCCAGGTCGGCGGCCACGAGGGCGTCGGCGTCGTGGTCAAGCTGGGGCCGGGGGTGACGGCACGACAACTGGGCGAACGCGTGGGCATCAAATGGATCGCCTCATCCTGCCTGACCTGCGAGATGTGCCTGTACGGCTACGAGAGCAAATGCACGCTCCGTAAAGTCTCGGGTCTGGGTCACCCAGGCACCTTTCAGCAATACCTTGTCACGAACGCCCAATACGCCACGCCCATCCCGGATGGCGTCGACTCGGCCAAGGCTGCCCCTCTACTCTGCGGTGGCATCACTGTCTATGTCGCCCTACAGCGGGCCGAGCTGAGTCCAGGCCAATGGGTCGCCATCTCAGGGGGTGGTGGCGGCCTGGGTTCGCTGGCGACACAGTACGCAAAGACCATGGGCCTTCATGTCCTGGCCATCGATCACCCTTCCAAGGCGGACTTTTGTCGCAAGATCGGCGCCGATGCCTTTCTCGACTTCACGAACTTCAGCGGCGAGGGCGCCGACAAGGCCCTGGCCGACGAGGCAAAACGTCTCACGGGTGGCGGCGCCCACGCCATCCTCGTGAGCAACTCGTCATCCAAATCGTACGATCAGGCCTTGGACCTGGTTCGCTATGGTGGTACGCTCGTGTGCGTCGGCTTGCCTGAGGGTTCCTCGCTGCCTATAGCGGGTGCTGTCCCTTCTAATATGATTATGAACCGGTTGACTATCAAGGGTGAGTAGGAAATCAACTAATCAGGCCCCTTCTTCCAGGGTTTCCCTCAACTTTCCGATCATCTCTCTCTCTCTCTCTCTCTCTCTCTCTCTCTCTCTCTCTCTCAAGTGGAAGCGTGTAGCTAACGTGAGGGATGAAAGGCACCATGATCGGCAACCGTAAAGACGCAGTCGAATGCCTGAAACCGCTGGCTCGAGGCCAGATTGATCCCCAGGTCACGGTTCGACCGATGAGCCACCTGACTCAGGTGAGTGTCTCTCTCCTTTTCTCATCGTTGTCTTCGCTTTGCTCTACAATCACCATTACGATCTCGTGGGGTATTCGTCTCTGGCGACTCTACTCTTGAAGCCCATGAGAGCCAAAATACGCCGGGGTGTATGATGCGAGGTACTATGTACGGACTGACTGACTGAGTGACTGACATGGGTGAATTTTCAAATCTAGGTCTTTGACGAAATGCACGCAGGACGCATTCAAGGTCGTGTCGTGCTGGACATGACAAAGTTGGAGTAGAGTGCTGTGTCAAGGTAGAGTGATAGAACAGTAACTAAAGCATACGGGATTACCTGGGTACCTTTTTCTACAAAGCAGAATGAGTCTGAGTCTGAACCATCTTTGCACTGCCTACTTCCTTCTATATGTATCCATTGATCGGATCTCCACGCTTTCGTGCCCGCCTTTCCTTCACAACCCCACATAAACCGTCTTCAGCTCGGTCCAATCGTCCAGAGCGTGCTGGCCGTTCTCTCTCCCCTCACCGCTCTGCTTGATGCCGCCAAAGGGCATATCCAGCGTCATCATCGGACTGGTACAGTTGAGGCCAACGGTGCCGGACTCCAACCCCCGCGCCATGCGCATGGCCCGCGATAGGTCGCGCGTGAAGGCACTCGCGTACAGACCGTACTCGGTGTCGTTGGCGAGGCGGAGCACCTCTTCCTCGGTCTGAAAACTGCGGACGCACGCCACGGGACCGAAAATCTCCTCCCGCATGACGGCACTGTGCTCGTCGGGTTCCAAGATGATGGTGGGCTGTATGTAGAACCCTCGATCGCCTTCGCGGTCCCCACCTACCAGGATCTGATCCCCCGCTTTACGTGACCCGGCGATGTATGTCATGATGCTCTCGAATTGGCCCTTGTCCGCTTGGGGGCCTCGGACTGTGGTGGATACCAACGGGTCATTCCCTTCAGAGGGGTTGCCCCCCTGTTTCCTCACGGCCGCGACGAGAAGTTGGCAGAACCGCTCGAGGATGGACGCGTGCACGTAGATCCGGGTACTCGCGATACACACCTGACCTGAATTGTAAAGGATCGAAAAGGCGGCGGCGCTGGCGGCCCTGTCGAGCTCCGCGTCTTCGAAGATGATGAGGGGACTCTTGCCACCCAGTTCGAGCGTGACGTGCTTCAGATTCGATTCCAGCGCGGCCTTCTTAATGGCTCTTCCCGTCCTCGCGGACCCCGTAAAGGAAATCTTTCGAATCTCCATGTGCGAGGCTATCGCGGCGCCGCAGATCGAACCAGTGCCACTCAGCACGTTGATCACCCCGGCGGGTATACCAGCTTCCCGGCATAGTTTGGCCACTAGGAGGCTCGTCAAGGGGGCCTTTTCCGACGATTTAACCACGATAGTATTCCCTGCTAGCACCGCGGGGGCGACCTTGAAGAACAATTCCGTGACTGGGGCATTCCACGGGGTGATGGCCGCACACACGCCGTAAGGTTGCCGGAAGGTGAAATTGACAAAGTTGGGCGTCTGAAGCGACGATTCTCCCTTGACATCGGCCGCCTTGCCAGCCATGTATCTGATGAAACGGGCCATGTTTGTTCCCTCGGCTGCCAGATAGTCAGTCAAAAAAAAAGAAAAACATGTACCTCATACACACAACTGTGTTCAAATGCGACATACTATACTTTCCCACCGGTTTGCCCATGCTCACGGCCTCTAGCTTCGCAAATTCACCATTGCTGCTCTCGACGAGATCGGCCAACTTGTAGAAATAGGCCGCGCGTTGAAACCCACTCAGTGCCGACCATGCGGGAAATGCGGTCTTTGCTGCTCGCACGGCGGCGTCAACGTCTGCTCCATCGGCTTCAGATACCGACGCCGTCACTTTTTCTGTAGCCGGATTGACCACGTCAAACTTCTTGCCACTCTGAGAAGGGACAAAATCGTTGTTGATGAACAGCCGCGTCTCGATGTTGCTTGGGTAAGAAGCGCCATTTTTCAGGGAGGCGGTCATGGTGCTGAGCCGGCCTCCTTTCGCTGGTTATGAAGATAATCAACTGGGAAGCAATGGTTGACTTGTTTACTGCAGCGTGTCAGGAGAGTTGATTCGGCATCGATGTCATGTCTCTCTCGGAAGAACTTATCAGCGCTGTTTTAGCAACGTACTTGTTGGTCTCAGATTGTGCAAACGGACAAGTAATTCCAGGCCTGGAGAATCGGTCGCAGCCCGGTTAAGGTTGGGCAGAGGGCTGATAGTCTTCTTCACTGCGTCTCGGAAATTCGGATACTTTCGCCCATTCGCTGGCATGCGTCACGCGCAAAGCAATGAGTCGGCTTCTACTGGCTATTACCACTATTCCGTTTTGCCTGGGCAACTTTGATTATTTTACATTCTTGGCCAGGCGTTGTCATTGTCACCTTGAGGCTGACTACGGTCTTGACTCTCCTACTCAGACGGATCACTCCCAATTAAACCGGATCGGCTATTCAACCTCACTCCTTCCAACATATCACCATGCCAGTTGCCATCGTCACCGGCGCCGCCTCAGGGATCGGACGAGCCATCGCCCTTCGCCTAGCAGACGATGGATTCAACGTCGTGATAGCGGATATTCCACCGCAACAGGCCGCTTCAGAGGAAGTGGTAGAGGAGATCACAGCCAAGGGAAGAAAAGCTCACTACGTTCCTGTCGACGTGTCCAACCAAGAGCAGGTCGAGGCCATGGTCGCTGAGACAGTTCAGGTCTTTGGCGAGGTGAACGTGATGGTGTCTAACGCTGGCATCCTCGACACGACGCCGGTACTGGAGATCAGTCTAGAAAGATGGGAGAGGACCATGGCCGTCAACTTGCGTGGCGTCTTCCTCTGCCACACCACCGCGGCGAGACAGATGGTCAAGCAAGGCAAAGGAGGGAAGCTCATCGCGGCCTGTTCGATATCGGGCTTCCGTCCTAGCGGCCAGTGTCCCGCATACTGTACCAGTAAGTGGGCTGTCCGGGGCTTCACCCAGACGTGCGCCGTGGAACTGGGCAAGCACGGCATCACGGCCAATGCATATTGCCCGGGTTCAGTGCCCACGAATATGTCAAAACAATTCTCCGAGAAGCTGGGTAAGAACGTGGGCAGTTCGAATATAGACGAGGCGTACGAGAAGTCGGCATACCGAGTTAGCGCTCTTCAGGTGGATTTACAAACGGAGGATATTGCCGGCCTGGTCAGCTTCCTGGCTGGCAAGGACTCAGACCGCATTACCGGTCAGAGTATGATTTGCGACGGTGGTCAGTATACCCCCTGAAGACCTGCATGTGCCGCTTGACAATCGATCATTGAACACTGATTTGTGTTCGCTTCAACAGGGATACAATTTGCATGACCAGAATAGTAGCTACTGGAAGAGAAAGATTCTATGCTAGTCCTGTG